GCCACGAATTTGGTAAGAAGACTGGAGCACCTCCCCTACAAAGACAAGGCTGAGAAAGTTGGAGCTGTTCAGCCTGGAGAAGAGAAGGTTGAGTGGAGACCTCATAGCAACCTTCCAGTATGTGAAGGGGTCATACAGGGAGAGGGACTGTGCCTCAGGAACTGTAGCGACAGGACAAGGAGTAATTGGTACAAACCGACTGAGGGGAAATTTAGGCTGGATATTAGGAAGTTCTTTACTGTGAGGGTAGTGACATACTGCAACAGGTTGCCCAAGGAGGTTGTGGACGTCCCAAACGTGGCAATGTTCAAAGCCAGGTTGGATGAGGCCTTGAGCAACCTGGTCTAGTGGGAGGTGTCCCTGACCATGGCAAGGGGGGTTGGAACTAGATATCTTTAAGGTCCATTCCAACCCCTTCACATTCTATGATTCTCTGATTCTGTGCCCATCTGAGTAGTGGGAAGAAACAGAGGACACCAGGTCCTTCCCAAAGAACAGGCACAAACACTGGCACGGAAGCAGAGGTAACATCCTTCAATCCAAAGGGGTGAGAGGAAGAAGGGGCCTTTCTCTTTAAAGACTTCCCTATGATTTGGATTTCTACATACCCTGCCTCCATTTGCCCACTGGTCTTTGCAAGCGTGAAGAAATCTCAATTCAGCAACCACTTGGAGCCAGCCCTAAAGTTACATCAGCGAAATATTATTTATCAGAACATAGCAGACATAAACTATGTGCTCCCCTCCTTCTCTTGTTCTCTGAGACACTTTCCCTGTGGGCTGTGGTCTAAGTGAAAAGGTGCTGCACAGGTCACTCAGACTGACCTCTTTTGAGCTCCTGTTTCTGTGCCATCCTGCCCAGACATTTTCTCTTGCAACATGGTCTGAAAAAAGAATGGCAAAGTTCTGGCCCTCATCTGTAATGCCTTGGGAGTCTGGATCTGAGCCAAGAGCACAGTGAACAAAGTGAGCAGTCAGCATGGATTTGCAGAGGGTAAATCATGTCTGCCCAGTTTGATTGCCTTGTATGAGACATTTACTGGGTCTGTGCATGAGCCTTGACAAACTCAAGGCTTTCAACACTCACACAATATCCTTGAATCCAGTTTGGGATGCTGGGATCTGTATGGGTGGACAGCCTGATAATAGGCAGAGTACTAGAGGGAACTGTCCTAGGACCTGTCCTGTTTCTTTATCAGTCGCCTGGAGGAAGTGATGGAGTGCACTCAAGTCTGCAGCTGATGCTGAGCTGGGGGGTTCAGTGCATACATTCAGGGGCAGAACCACTATTCAGAGTGACCTAAACAGTCTGGAGGAAGGGGCTAACAGGAACCTTCAGAATTCAACAAGGACAAATGCAAAGTCCTGCACCAGGGAAGGAAGAACCCTTTGAGATGATACAGGCTGAGGACTGACTGGCTGGATAGCAGCTCTGCTGGAAAGGACCTGGGGGTCTTGGTAGACAGCAAGCTGAACAGGAGCCAGCAGTGTGACGTGGTGCAGAGAAGGCTATATTTCCAGAAGCATAGTTAATAAATCAAGGGAAGTGATTGTCCTGCTCTACTCAGCCCTTGCTAGCCCACATCTGGAAAACTGTGTCCAGTTTTGGGCCTCTTAGTACAAGAAAGGCATAGCTAAAGCAGCGTGAGGTTGATGGATGGACACCAGAATGGTCAGGAGACTGGAGAACTTACTTGCCGCAGGAACACAGAGGGAGAAGCTGAATGGACTGGGCTTGCTCAGCCTGGAGAAGAAAATGATGTGAGGAAACCTGACAGCAGCTTCCCCAGGACCTAGCAGGAAGTGATTGGAGACTGAGAGACAGCAGACATAAGTGAAAAAAGAGAAATTCAAACTGGATATAAGGAAAATCTTTGTCTAACAAGATTACAACTTTGAAATTAAGAGTCTGCAAGTGAAAGTGTGGAAAAGGAAAAGAACAGCTCTTTATTACCAAATCCGAATAAACAACAATGGTGCAACCAAAACTTTCAAAAGAAACAAAACAAAGTCCTAATTCCCCAGGGGGAAAAAAACCCGCAGCAAACTGGGGTGGGGGTGGGAGGGGGGGCTGATGGCAAAACTGTCCCTGGCAGCTCAACAGCTGCTCGCAGCCGGGAGCGGCCGGTGGCTTCATAGAAAGAGTCCTTCTTCCCAAAGGCGCAGTGTCAACTCAGGCAGCTCCGATAATGGAGCCCCCACGCCCCGAGAGCATCTCGCTGCGAGATGCGTTGGTCTCTCAGTCGCTCTCCACGCGGTATCCGGCAGGGAAAAGAAAAAAACTTCCCATCAGGAGAAGGGGAAAAAAAAAAAAAAGAGGTGCCGAAAAAAAACCCTCAAAGCAGCTCCCGCTCTGTCCGTCGGTGGAAAAAAACCCCAATCCTCCCGACAAAAGGGCTTCCGAGGCGTGGCCCTGGCCCGCTCTTTAGAGGGGGCCCCCGCCCGGTCCCGCGCTGCGCAGCGTGTGGCGTTCCGCTCCCTCTCCCCCTCCTGACTCCCCCCATCCCGGAACAAACAGATTGGGAAGGGGGGGGCGAGCGACACTGGGGAAAAAATTCCAAGATCTCTTTTCAAACCTATGACAATCTTTTTCGCCAGGAGGACAGTCAAGCACTGGCTCAGGTTACTCAGAGTGGTTGTGCATCCTTATCCTTGGAAAGCTGAGAAAATCGTTGATGGCTATGCTTTGAGCAGAATTTTGGACTAGCGACCTCCAGAGGTCCCTTTCAACCTGAATTACTCCGATTCTATGTATTGTACATCCCCAGATCTGAGAAGGAAGACACAAACACTAAGTCTCATTGCCCCTGTCAGTATTTCTAATAAGATGTGCCATCAGCTGCTCCAAGGCTCTGATTTCAAGGTTAGAACCAGGCATGAGGCCACTCGAAGGACACTGTGCAGAAGGTCCCTAAGTGATGTGCAGACCAAAATTCAGCATCATTTAGACAACAGAGTGACAGTCTTGCTGCCAAGTTTTTGCAGGAGCACTGTGACCCAAGGGCTCATTGCTAGCACGACGTCCTGAAACATGAGACAGGAAGAGAACAGGTATGTAGAAGGTAGTTCAGAAGTGACCTGGCTGAAGACAAGCCCTGCCTCAGGCAGCATGAAGCCATATGGTGGGAAGGCCAGACTAGCTCTCAGCAGAGACTGGTACAAAGCAGGAGGCACCAGCACTATGCTGGTGGTGCTGGAGGAGAGGCAGAGAAACCATGTTTAATTCTCTTATTCAAGTCCCCGAGGAACCCAGAAGATGCCAGTGTTCTGGAATATGCCATGTTTTGTGTTAAGCTAGGAGAGCTTTCTTGAGTCTCTACAAATGGTTCTTTGAGTGACAAGACCCTGTAAGATTCTGCAGTTGTATCTCTGAATTCATGTAGTCACACAGGTCCCCTCTTGCAGGCCCAATATGAAACTATATATCTCATTTTTCTAGCAGAAGTGGTTATACCAACCTTTTGTGATGCCTCCATACCTCAGCTACCTCCAGAGCAAGACTGGACTGGTAGTGCCATACCGTCTTGTCCCTTAACGGTAGCATCTCTGAGTGCCCTGGGCACGGGGATGGCAGCCCAGAAGGGAATCTGAAGCTCCAAGTTGGACACTGCTGTAACACCAAACTGAATAATGCCAGGGACTGGCCTCAGGTGTGAGAGCTCAGTTGTCAACACTAGTTAATGGTTCAGGCCTTCCCCTGTGTGGCTGTGGCCTGTGTCAACTCACATGTCCCCTGGCAAAGCAACAGCACAGCTAAGGAGTGAGCACAGGCGAGAACCACCACAGCCAGTGGGCACTCTGGACGCACTTTAGAAGCAGACTGTGTGGACATGGCCACGTAGCAGCACCATCAAAATCTTGAGCTGGATGGAGCTAAATCAGCACACTTCTGGGAGGGGAGGAGAGCTGTGTCCCAAACAGGGCAGCCTTAAGTGCCCTTGGTGGATAATGTGAGAGAGAAGAGTACATTTCTGTGACCAGACAACTGCTCTGCTTGACTCTGCAGCATACAGGTGGTCCCAGGCCATCACTTTATGGTCCAGTCCTCAGCAGAGGCACCGGCAACAGGGAGAAGCTGTGAGGCTGTGCCTCAAATGCAAAGGAGAGGTAAAAGCTGTGGTGGGCCTGGGCTGTGGTGGAGTGCATTGGAACGGCCACAGCAGTTGATAGTGGAGATGAATTGGGGTAGGCCAAGAGACTGAAGGGCTGTCAGAAGGAATACAGGATAACTTTCAAAGCAGTGGGTGCCTCTCATAACACAATATGGACACTTCTGCTGTAAAATACCCAGAGACTAAAAAGTTGAATGAAATTTGGGCTGCACCACTTGGTGTGCTGTCCTGTCCAAGAGTTCAACCAAGACCTCCATGTGCCAGCTTTCCACCTGCCAAAGCAGGGAAATAATCCCAAAAGCAGAGAAGTGCAGATTAGAGGGGACTTGCTCCACCCTCTGCAGCCCCAGCAGAGGGTTCTGACAGTATGATTCCTGACAGATGTTTGTTTGACCAGTATTTAAAGACTTCCAGAGACAGTGATGGCCCATCCAACCCAACAACCTTAATTGCTAAGAAAATTTTCCTTAGTGTGTCACTTCATTCTCTCCTGTCTAAATTCCCATTTCTTGTCACCAAGGAGTGAAGCTCCTGGCTGTTTTCTGAGGTTCCAGTCATTCCACACTGGCACTAACCATATTCTCCTGTTTCAGCTTGTGCATGCAAAAACATGAAATAAAAATATAAGATCAAGGTACTTCGCAATAATTTTCATGCTATTTATTTTGCAGTATTTATGCACTGGCTATTCTATTAATGATAAAATGTGTAAAAATTGCTTCCAATAAATTGTCTTCTTTCTGCAGTTCACCAAAAACATAGCTTCAAATGCAACAGTTGTGAAATATTCATATAACTTACATGCCTCTCTGCCCTGCTGCTCGTTATAGCCAGGCTGCGTCACACAACTTCTGAAAATGTTACAGGTCTTATCAGCTTCACATGGATATGATAAAGGTTATAGAAAATGTAGATATCAGATCCTGCTCTCCAGAAACTTTCTCAACCTACATAAATGATTAATAATATGCAGCAGAAATACTGACATCCTGCAAACACATACACAATTTCCTCCCACCAGGTTACAAAGCATGGTAGAATTGGATAATGTGTCACCTCCTCACACAAGCCCAGCTCCCTGGTTTGCACACCTTCCCTCGTTACAAAGCTTATTTCACGTGTTGTTGATCTTATATACACACACGATCACTGCAGAGACCACAGACAAGTTCTGTTATGGAATGCAGAATTCCAGACAGAAAGTATCAAATTGGCGAGAAGTCCCCAGTTACATGCACAGAACAGGGTTGCAGCAGAGTTGGCAATTACCACTCTGTTCCTTAGGAATAAAAGCATGGAAAGTTTCAGGTAGGCTATGAGATTGCACAAGGGTCAGTAACACAAGAGGAGAGTCTCAAGATGAACGCTTTTTGAAAAGTATTAGTTTTTGGAAAGCCTGTTTAAATTCTTCATTAAAAGCTGTATAAATGACTGGATTGATCAATGAATTTAGGTAACCCAGCCAGGTAAAAAAGTCCAGTAGGATGGGATGAAACCAACAGGCATCTTGGCAAATGGGCAGGACTAGGGACATGACAAAAAAAGGCAGCCAGCAGAAAATAAAAGCTCCCAAAATAATGCCTAAAGTTTTGGTGGCTTTCCTTTCTCTTGCAGTAGAAATTCTTTTCCTTTCCAGGACACTATCTGCAACTTTTATTTTAACATGATTGATAAATATTGGGGATCCACCTGAAAGGGAATGCCCTTCATGGAGGCTAGCATTAATGGAGCAGAGAGAAGACCCCGCAGAGCCGGCGATCAGGTGTGCAGTAGTAAAACGTTTCCCACATAATGAGGGTGGCTTCAGAATTCTGGATCGAGCTGCTACATAAATTCTACCATATAATATCAGGAGGAGCACAGTTGGGATGTAGAAAGCTCCACAAGTGGAATAGATTGTGTAGGTAATTTGATCTGTGTTCACAGTACACTTTGCAATTTCTTCATGAGCTTTCACTTGCCTCCAGAAAAATGGTGGCACAGAAATACTAATAGATATCATCCAGACCACTGCAATCATGAGGGCTGCTCGGCCAGCAGTCCGGCGTTTGGTGTATTCCAAAGCGTCTGTGATAGCCCAGTATCTGTCCAGGGCAATAACACAGAGGTGCAGGATGGAGGCTGTGCAGCATGTGATGTCTGATGACAACCAGATATCACACAGCACTTGGCCAAAGGCCCATGAATGGGTGACAGTGTAAGCAATACTGATGGGCATTACAAGGACAGACACTAAAAGATCAGTCACTGCCAAGGAGCCAATGAGGTAATTTGCAGGTGTGTGGAGCTTTCTAGTCAGAAAAATTGTAATAATAACAAAAACGTTTGCAAGGATTGTTGCCAAAGTTATAACAGACAGAAGGATTGACAGTGAAATCTTCAGCCCTAAGAGTGTCCTTTCATCCCAAGCCAGTGGTGTTTCAGTGAAATTTAATGACTTATTTGCTGAGCTCTGGAGAGAGAACTCTGCTGAATGGTTGTACTGAGTCATCCTCTGCTCTGGTTTCACCTTCCAGTGTAATCCTTCTAGGACAATGAAGAAAGATGCTCACTTTTTTGATGAAATAGAACTTTTCATACTTCAGTCCAACATGGAAGAAATATTAACTTGTTGAAAACTTCAGCTGACACAGTAGATGAGGTACTCTCCAAAACAAGATCTTCCATCACATCACATCAATGACATCATTGTTAAAGCAAAATGTTAACATAATCATCCAGATATCAATCTGGTGTACAACAATGCAAGCAGTACTATTAAGTGACAAGAACTTAGGTGGGTTTCATTTTCATCTTGAAGATGACTGAATCATTCTTTGTCTTTTTTTCTGAACTAACCATCTGAAAAGCTGCATAAATCAATACTGAAGGATGAGAGACAGAAAAGAAACATCTGGGCATGTAGTTAATGCCCCTTTGCTTGGGATAAAGCTGCCCTCAACAGTATTTCCCCTTTCTCTCTAATAACTGACTGTCATGTTTTTGGTATTTACAAGGGACACTTTATTAGTAGAGTACCTAAGATATAAAACAATACCATCTGGATTCCTTCTGTAAACACAATTTCTGCCAGATTTGTGAATCAAGACTTCTTTTTGAAAAGTACAGATCTTTGGTTTCATTTATTTCTCCAGACCATTCAGGTTTTCTCTCAACATTTAGTCTTCAAATGCTGAAGTCAGATGTAAGGTACCAGAACTCAATGTGTTGGCACACATTATAGCACAGTATGCAATCTACAGGCTTTCCATACTTTTCCTTGGATTCACTTAGTGTAACGTGAAGTCTTCACAAACCTGAAGAAAACATCCTAAGATAGATTTCCCTCAGGCCTTTCACTCACTTGCAACCATGAGTACCAGAATGTTACTTACATTATGCCAGCCCAACCCTTCTTGAAAGACATCCTGAATGTGGGTCACGAATGGCTTTGCAGTGTGCAAGGAGGGCTGCAAAGAGAGACACTGAACTTCTCCAAGGAAATAATCATCAGGTCAGCCCTCTCCCAGTCATCGAGGAGAAATGCCTCTCTCAGTCATCACTGGTACAGATTCATGCATCCAACAGAGAATGGACAGTCACTTGATTGGGAATCTGTGGAGCAAGAGCAGCATATATTCTACATGAAACATTAGCACTTTGATGTCAAACAGCCTCTCTTAAGCTCCTAAATCCTAACATAAGAAACACTTTTCCGTTTGGTGTGTTTGATTTTTTTTATAAACAACCACCTTCTGTGAGTTAATTTGATTTTTAGAGATGCTTTTTCTTTTGAGGTGTACTTTTCCAATTAGGGGACGTGAGTCTCATATTTCATACTAGACTATTACTTTCTTGATTTTTTTTTTCTCCAGGAAGGGGAAGATCCCTTCCTAATAACCATTTTTGTGACACTGAACAAAGGTGCAATTTACAAGAATTTTTTAACATAAAAATGCATATAGCGACCAAAGTCCATCAAATCCTGACAATGACCCATACGTTCAGCTCAACCTTGTTGCCTTTTTCTGACACTTTGCCAACACCGATATGTTCTTTTGGAGACAGAGACCAGAATCACAAACACTTGTTGAAGATGTGAATACACCACAGATTGATACTGCAGCATAATGGTGTTTTCTGTTCTCAGTTTCTTTCCTCATGATTCCTGAAATTTACTTTGCTTTTTGAATCATTGCATAGCACTGATCTGACATTTCCACAGAGCAGTCCCAATTAATATAATTCCAAATACCTTGAGTGGTATATCAGCTTTTTTTCCCTGGCAGCTCACTTTTTACATCTATGAGCACTATATTCCTTCTCCCACTTTTTAACTAAGGTTCTTTGCAACTCTGCACAGTCAGTCCTTGTCTTTATTACTCCGAAGACCTTTGTTTCATCATCATATGTCATCACCCCACTATTCATGTACTTTCCAGATCACTCAAAGTCTCTTGAGAGTCTAAGTAATTGTATGGGTTGGACTTCACTCACTCCATATACTCATCTGCTTTTCTTAATTACTTCAACAGATTGGTGAGACATAACTTACCTTTACTAAAGCCTGAACTTTGACTGTTCTCCAAAACACCATATTTACTATGTGTACAGTAATACTATTGTTTATTGCAATTTCTGCCAACTGGTTATATGTACAGATGTTGGGTTATGGCTCAGCAGTTGTCCAGATCTCTTTGGGAAGTGACACCACAGCGGTTGTCTTGCAGTTAGCAGATGCAAAGGGAGTTGAAGTAGAGGTTGACCCTCCCACTGATACCACTGCACTTTGGATATTGAGTTGCACTGAACTCTCTAGCTGAGCACTGTCTCACAGTGAAGTTATGTTGTTGTTCCCTTTGGCCAGAAATAAAGAGTCCACTTGTAAATATCCCCCAGTTTCTCTTTAGTGAACAGGGATGCTGAAGTTAATCTAGTTTCTCTGTGAGAAATTTCCTTTATCTTCTCTGGATGTATTTTTTTTTCCATAGCTTTACCATCCCTTTAACTCTTTGACACAGTAATGGCTCACTTCAGAGCTCTCACTTACAGAGTCTAAGAAACCTCTTACCTGAACACTGAGCTGACTGCACATCCCACGCAGAAGAAACCAAAACCACCAGACAGACTGATTAGCAATATTAAAGACAATGACTGTATTTCTTAAAAACTAAAGCCAAGGCCAATCTTGATTTCAGTTATTGAGAAAAGTGATATCGAGCCTTTCACATATAATGTGATTATCAGTCTTAGAATAATTCCAGCAACATGAACTAAAGTGAAGTGCACCTCACCCACCCACTTGTACATGAACAAGCTTATTAGTAGTCCTACTGCTTCCAACAGCTCTCAATCACCATGGGAAAAAATAAGTTGATGTGAAACATGGCATTTTCAGTGAAATGAACTAGTCTAGAGTTCAAAGGAATTATTAATCTTCAACATGCCAGTAAACAGGACACTCCTACACTGGGAGAAAGTCTTATTGAAACCAAATAATGTGTTAACATATATTGAGTTACTGAATTAATTAAGTGATGTCTCAGAACAAAATTTTACAAAAATGCTCCAAGTCAGGTATTTATCCTGTACTCAGAAAAAGTTACCATCTAGATAAAATGAACATACTCCCAGTAATTTAGCATTTCAATTAAGTTACCTTTTACTCAACAAAAAAAAATGCTGAACACAGGTAAGTGATTTTCCCATAAAAAAAGAAAAACATTTGCATAAACTACAGACACTGAAAAAATAACACTAGATGTTGAGCAGTCATTAAATTAAGTATAAGGTCATGCACATAACTGCCTATTAATAAAAGCAGAACACAAATGCACAGGCACACACATCCTGAAACCCCAGAGCCCAGGAGTAGTGACTGGACGTGCTGCCTGGGCAGAGCGCATGTGGTCTCTGGAGCATGAGGAGCACTGGGCAGAACTTGGTTGTTGAGGAAAACATTCAGTGCCAGTAGCTCAGGGTGCAGCTGCAGCGGAGCTGCAGGTTGAGCTCTGTGGGACAGCAGCCTGAGCCCGAGGCAAGAGGCCATGAACTGTCGACCCTTTGAACAACAAAGGGCCCCTGGAGCTGTGTCCCAGCCAGGGGACACGACACTCAGAGACACAGCAGGAGCCGACAACCCCCAGACTTTCCTGTGCTTGGACTGTGAGGGGATAAAAGCCCAGGGGTTCCTTTGTTCTGGGTCCCTCCTCAGAGGCACCAGCTCAAGCTGTTATTTTGGTATTGCACCATGATCAAATTACTTTTAGGAGTCTGAGACTCAGCAATGGGGAACGTGGGGCGGAGCTGGTGAGAAAACCAGGTCTGACTGTATGAGTCTGGGGGGAGCAGCTGCGAAGGGGCTTCGGTCCCAGCTCAGGTGGTGCGAGAGCGAGTGCCAGAGGGGCTCCTGGAAGGTCAGACAGGGAAGTTTACTTAATACTGGTGATGTTATCACCCCTAGATAAGATAGCATTATTGCCTCCAGTGTGTGCAACTCGCAGCCTGGGTCAGTGCTCCTGCTGCCTGCAGGCAGTAGTGTGCACAGTGTGGATCAGCCCGCGCCACCCTCTGGCCCTGCCAGGCAGGGCATAGCAGGTTTGTCACCCACACTTCACAGGATGGGAATCCTCTCAGATGCCTTGGCTGCATCAGCGCTGTCCTTGGTTCATCTTTTCTTGGGCTTCACCTGGTGCTCTTGGCCACGGACTGTGGGTATTTTTTTCACTTCACAGCTTCTGAAATAAACTGATGTCACAGCCAACCAGAGCGAGGTTTTCACAGCACAGCATGTGTGATGCACAATGCCTAGCTGGAGCAAACCAGCATTGTCTTAGATGCTTGCAGGTGAGGCAAGATGCTTGCAAGAGCAGCTAGGAACAGCATAGAGTAAAGGAGGGTACACCTGTCCTTGGTTTATCCATGCTAGTGTCCCCAGTAGTTTCTCCACACTACTGTCCCTGTGGATTGTCCACACTACTGCACTGAGTAGCATGCAGGTGTGGCAGTTGGGGGAGGATGGGGCAAGTACAGAGCTGTGCAGTGAGAATGATGAGAAACCAAGGCACAGAGTAACCCTGGGGTGAAGAAACATGATGATAAAACCACAGCAAGCAGCCCAGTCACCAGAGCCTCTTCTGTAACCAGTAGGGACAGAACACCACGTCCTGACTGCAAGGCCACAGAAACCAGGACTGCCCTCTGCAGCTGCCTCCCTCCTGCATCCCAAATTTGATCTGGGCTGACTGTGGCTCTCATTTATATACCTCCAACAGTACTGAAGGTTGCATGGGAAGGGACCTTTTGATCCCTGTGTCCACACACTCAGTAGTTCCTGTGAAAGTCCAGGAGGTAAGGAGATGTGTAATAATGTCTTGGTAACCTGGAGAGATTCTTTTTCATTAATCAGAAAGAAGGAAAGAGTATTTAAATGGAGAGACAATTTCAGACACTGGAGTGCTATTTAACTTAGCAGAAAGCTCAGCTCAAGGACTGGAATGTGAAGCAAGATCATGTGCAATGTGAAAAGAAAACACACTTTAGTTGTTGGTGATAGCATTGGGACTGCTTCACTGTTCAGGGTCCTCACTTAAAACTAGGTACTTCTTAAGAAAAGGTGCTTTGCATCCCAGCTCTGCAGTTAAACTCACAGAGCAAGGGCAAGGTGGCAGGGTAGGGTCCCTAGGAGGAAAAACTGAGTTCCAGGTGTGCCAAGGCAGGAACACCGGCAGGCAGGAGGAGGCTGGGTGGCCCCAGGAGCTCCACAGGACCGAG